GTATTTGTCGTGCGTCTGGTCGTAGGTCTGACCGTCCGGTGCCTTGAATTTGACGGTAAGGCTGTCGGTGTCCTTCGAGTGCAGCGAAAAGCGCGTGTTTTTGCCCAACTCTTCGTCGATTATCACGCGTTTAGTGACCGGTTTGTCGCCGATTATGATAACCTCCCGATTCATTATGGTTACCGTTTGGATCTCGACATCTCTCTAGTTTAAAATAATTATATTTATATTAATATTACCAACATAAAACTATCCTTACAAATTAAATAAAATAATTTACTGTAATACAAAGTTAATTTAACAAAATAAAAATAATCAAAAAATATCTGCCTAATCCGGGGCTCAAACCAACAACCTATTGCTTTAACAAAATAAGTGGTTTTATATACAGTAGACTCTACTGAGTAGAGTAAGACTATCCATATAAATAACATAAAAATTTAAATCATGTGCATAGTGCATACAAGCAAGTTCATTTAATAATTATAAAAATGTTTGATTATAAATAATCTTGCTGAAACATTAAACTATAGCGTGTAAAATATCCCATAAGGAAAAGTATGGTAAAAATAAACTTATAATTGTTTGATTTACTAATTAAAAAACAGTTTGTATCAAAATAAAACATGCATAATCTAAATATAAATAATACGTTATACGAGCTAAAGAGTGACCAGGGTGCATTTACCTGTTGCGACACAAAGCCCATGAACGCGGTCTCCATCGCCGTATTGGTGGCGCTGTCGTTGTCCTTCATATAAAATCATTTGCCCCCACTTTCCAAAGAAATCCTTTCCAACCGGGCGTCCGACCCGTTGGACAGCGCTATGGAGTCCACCCGAACGCCCGCTTTCAACAGCTCCGGCACTATCTCGTCGATCGTCGGCTCCCTTTGGTTCTCCTCTCCGTCGGTGATCAACACTATTGTCGACCCCTGGAGTCGACCCGACCCAACCCCACTGGCACCCGACCCGAGCATATCCAGCGCCAGCTTCAAGCCCTTGCCTATGGCTGTCCAACCGGCCGATTAGGTCGGTATCACCGCTGCCAGCGATTGACGTGTGTTGTTATTCACAGTCACCATAGAGTGCAACTGCTCGGCATCCGTAGAAAATTGCACTATGCCCAACTCCATGCCGTCCAAAATGAGATCGTTCACAAACCTGGTGGCAGCCCGTTGTAATCTACCTCGTCTACCGTAATCGTCCATGCTACCTGATACGTCTAGCACCAGAGCGAACCTGGTGCTCTGTCGATCATCTACTCTTAATAGTCTTATAGCTGGTTCGTAATACTGGCCCAATGTGTCTAGGTTTCTTTATACATTGGTGATTTATAACTTTAGTTAATTATATAATTTACAATATTATACAATATATTTTTTTATATTGTGATAAAATATTACTGGTTTTTAAAGTCCCTGTGCGATTCAATGACTTCCCAAGTGCTCCGGTAATTGCACTGTATGTTTTGCTTATTTGGGGCGTAGATATTGTGCCGCAATTGCTGATCATCAGTATCGTTTTGGCAAAATTTTTCAATCTAATAACGATTTATTACAATTAACTAACAATATAAACACTTTATGTTACATTTAAGACATTTTGTAGTATAATTAACAGAACATTATTATGTTAGTTAAAGTCTAATACAAACTGTAAAATTTATTGTTTTGTATTAATTAATTATGATTTGAATTTGTATTTCATCTTAAATGGGATCAGAGAGAAGTTACCTTTTTTATTAGTTAATTATTAAATTAAAAGTAATTTTTATTTACAATATTATTAATTAATTATAACCTGAGTGTGGTAAATAAATATTATAAATTAAACAATTATTTAAAAATAATAGATAGTTATACTCACAGATTTCATGTGTGGCATAAACATAATGGACGCGACGGCACTGGTGTCCATAGGGTCGGGCACAAAGTGACAGTCCGGTGCCACCTGACCCCCGGCGTAGATTTTACACGGTTTACCCTCCATGTCCTCCTGGCGACCCTTGATTCCCTTGACGCACGTGGTCGGATATATCTGTATTAAATCTACCATAGGATTAACATAACAATTTTATATTAAGCTACTTTTAACATGATAATGATGTTTAACATACAGTCCCGTTTTCCATATAAAATGCCGGGTATTTTGGGTCGCCATCGGCTGAGTACTCGTCAAACACACCGTACCTATAGTGCGCCCATTCGTGAACCAGGTGCTTTTCTAGTTGGGTAGTCAACATTAAATGTATATACCATAATTCATTTTATTAATATTAGTTAACAGAGTTTTCATACTTTAATTAATACGTTAATAAATATATATTCATATTTATTTTATAATAATATTTAGTATATAAACTAACTTAATATTTTAAGCATTATTAAATAATAGCACGTTATTAAGTTAGTTAAATTTAAATAATTATTAAGTGTAATTCAAACTGTAAAATTTACTTTCTTGAATTAAATAATCATAATGTGGTTTGTATTAAGGTTAAGTGTGGACTAGACGACAAATGTTCTTCAATTGTTACATGTAAAGTATATATACAGTACAATAATTTATTTTAATAATTTAATAAAATTAATTAATTGAGTTTTTATATTTTAAATAAATACTTCTATAAATGTTTTAGCATTATGAACAGAACATTATCAAGTTAGTTAAAGTCTAATACAAACTGTAAAATTTACTGTTTATAATTAAATAATTATAATGTGATTTTGTATTTTCTTTTAAATTGGACCCATCGAAGTGTGTCGTCAATTGTTTTAATTTGTTAATTAATAAATTCAAACTAATTTTAATTTAAAATATTGTTAATTAATTTTAATATTTAATTCTATAATAGTGGTAAATAAATTTTATAAATTAAACAATTATAAACAATAAATACCTTTTTAAAAATACTTACATGATATATTACAGTATATATCTTTTTAAAAATACTTACTTGATATATTACAGTATATATTTACCATTATTAATCAATAATAAAACATTATCAAACTAATTAAAGTCTAATACAAACTGTAAAATCTACTAATTTGTAGTAAATAATTATAATGTTGTTTTTAATTGTATATAAAGTGGACTTAAGGATATTAATTGTATTTTAGGAAGAGTTGTTCAATTGTTTGAATTTGTTAAACATTATATTTCAATTAATTTTAATATTTAATAAATATTTAATAAGGTAAATAAATTTGATAAATTAAACAAATATAAAACAATTAAATACCTGGGTAATCAAACCTCTCACTCGCCTTATCATTCAATAGACTCTCCAAAAATCCGTCGGTCAACTGTATATACTCGCCGGGTTGTCCGCAACCCGTAGCCCCCGTTGATGAACGTGATCGGTTTGGGGCTACCCTGGGTATAGTTGATGATGGTTATTATGATGGTGAATAGTAGCATGTTTGCAAAATTCACCATATTTTCACTGATGGTGTTTTGTTGTTGTTAACCTAGTTATGGTTTTTACTTTAAGTTTGCTTTAATTTTTTTTGCTATACTGTACTTATTGTTGGCTAAAAATATAATAGTATTTAATTCAAAGGCTAATTATTTATATGTGTTTTTCGGAAATCAGTATTTGTTTTGTGGATAATATTTCTTATGTTTTGTTTTTTTTAGTTAATCCAATGTTTTGTTAACAGAAATCTTTATTTTGTTTTTAGTTTTATGTATGTTTTTAATGCAATTTCCTATTGAATTGTATTTATTCACATAATTAGCATAAGTTATTATATGATGTTTGTAAATTACCATCGTATGATTTCCTTTAACTAATTGCTTGTTATAATTATTGTTTATAATAACATTAATTGTTTTTGGATATATTATTACATTTTTAAAGTGTTGGTACTGTTTATGTTATATATTAAAAATCCCGATTATTTTGTTATAAATAAATGAGAAATTAATGTAAAATGTTACGATCACTAAATCTTTACTTATAATTTAAATAAATTACATCTAAACATATTTTACTATTTGTTACATAATATAAATCTGGGTTAAAGTTAAGGCTATTTAAATTTTATAAACATTTTATCAAAAGTGAATGATATTCAAAATAGTTTAATTATTTTTTATGCATTAAAAGTTTTCAATACTCGATGTCATTATTAAAGGCAAGTATTATAACTAAACTTTGAGATAATTAAACGCATATAAAAGGCGTGAATAATACAATTCAGTTCTCATTAGGTGTTTGCCATTCAAACCAAGTGTTTGTTAACCACTGTTCCAATAATTATTTTTTGGATAAAATCAGCGTTTTTGTGATTACGCCTCTCTCTCTCTCTCTCTCTCTCTCTCTCTCTCTCCAAATATCACATCATTTGATCCGCAGATATGGGACAACAGATGACATCAATTGAGTCCACGGATGACAACAACAAACGACAGGTATTTCACAAACAATTGACTATTTATTGAGTTTTAAATGTGTTTTTGTTTCACATTTTAGTCAGATATTTACGCGAAGAACTCATTCAGTCGTTTCGGTGGTGAAAAAGATGGCGAGAAGTTATGTTCACAGCTCTTGTCGTACCTCTCACTGGAAGACCGGTTCCGTTGCCAAAGTGTGTCCCAACTGTTCCGGAGGACTGTCTTCACGAGTGTTGTGGACATCAAACTGAATGACGATTTCATAAAACGCTGTCAAACATCAAACCAAACAATGACCACAATTGGCATAAAGTGCACAAACATTGAGACCATTGACTGTCGAGGAATACTTCAGTTATCGTTGAATTGGTTACGAGTTTTTCGTAGATTAAAGACATTGCGGTTAGCGGTCGACGCGGCCATCGATGGCCAGTGGTTGGAACCGTTGAGTGATTGCAAGAGTTTAACGGATTTAGCGATCGATTTAATACAAGTGAATCAAAATGTAATGAAAGATTGTCATCAATACTGTCCACGACTTGAATATCTATACATTCATGACTTGAATAGTATTATAGTCGCCGAGTGTTTGTCACACATCGCAAGACTACCGGCGCTGCAAACTCTTGTCAGTAAAAGTCCCCATCAATTGGATGTTAAAGACAGTGATTTGACGGATCTGTTGGACAAATGTGTAAACCTGTCGTCCATTGAAATATATGAACAATAGATCCCAAAATACTTTTACCGCAAACTTTTTTAAATATCTAAACGTTTATAACTTTAGTTCAATTTAAATATTAAGGTATTTTTAATTGTAACCTTGTTTTATATTTTTAAAGTTTTATCTAATATTAATACTAAAATGTTTTAAATTTTTTAAATAAATATTATATTGTATTCAATATGCGAATTAATGTTCAATGATTTATTAAATATAATTAAAATATTGATTATTAAATTATTCATATAAGTAAATATCTAATGTATGATTGATGTATGATTCATAATAGCAGCAAAATTAATATTCAATTCACTAGAAATATTACTGAATCTTTATAATTTACTGAATTACATTGTTTCATTAAATCGCTTAATATGAATTTGTATATAAAAACAAATGGGCTTCAAATCTAACGTTTAATTTTATAATAATAATTTAATTTAACGTTTGTTTAAATAAAAATATTTATAATATATAATATAAAGTTTATATACTGTAATAAATACATTTTTTCATTAAAAAGCATAATGTGTTTTGTATTTAAATAAGAATGAACACCAAAAGTTTCCATAATGCTTAATTTTATTATGATAATTTAATTTAATTTTGTTTTAAATTAAAATATTTATTATTAATTGCTCAATTAAGTTTTAAGTAAGTTAATTTATTTCTATTTAAAATGATGTAATTAATGTTGTGACATATAATTTTAATTAATATTGCTTGCTTGTAAATTTAAAACTCTGTTGTTAACTAAATAAAATATTTAATATAACATATTTATATCGTCAAATCATGTTTGTTATCCAATTGTTTGATCTATGCTACAATTAATTAAATTAAATGAGCAAAAAATAAAATAACATTGATCACAATTTTCAAGTACTTCATCATAACATAAACATCATTAACTAAATAACCATGGTCGAACACTCAATAAATTCACCCACATTTAACTTTGCGATCTTCAACGCCGAGTTTAATCATGGGTTTGCCATTATCTACAACACGTGCCGACACGCCATACCTGCCGTTCCCATTAAACTGGCACAGTCTCTGTGCGATTCAATGGTGTCCCAAGTGCTCCGGTAGTTGCACTGTATGTTTTGTTTATTAGGGGTGTGTATATTGTGCCGCAATCGCGGATCATCAGTAATTGTTAAGTCTTATTCAAACTGTAAAATTTACATTTTTGTACTAAATAATTATGATATGGTTTTGTATTTAATTTTAAGTGGAGACAAGCCAAAGAAAGATTTTTCATTGTTACATGTATATAAAGTACAAAGTACAGCATTACATGTTATACAATAATTCATTTTAATAAGATTAATTAATAGAGTTTTTGTACTCTTAATAAATAGGTTAATAAATATTGTTAGCATTATTAAATAACCGAACATTATTAAGTTAGTTAAAGTCTAATACAAACTGTAAAATTTACTGTTTTAACTTAAATAATCATGATGTGATTTTGTATTATGATTTAAATGGGACGGCTGAGAATCTTCAATTGTTTCAATTTATTAATTATTAAATTCAAACTAATTTTAATGTACCATATTATTGATTAATTTTAATATTCAATTCTCTAATTGTAGTAAATAAATTTTATAAATTAACCAAATATAAAACAACTAAATTCCTGGATAATCAAACTTCTCACTCGCCTTATCATCTAATAAACTCTCCACAAACCCATCGGTCAACTGTATATACTCGGCGGGCTGTCCGCAGCCACGGGGCTGATAGGTTTAGGGCCTGTTTATTTAATTAATCTGGGTATTTTAACTTACACTTTTATGTGCAACAATTGCTCAGAATATGATACACCCCGCAGTTGATTAATCAGTAAATTAATTTGGGAGTAATATCGTTAATGAGGGTAATAACAATAAACCCCTAATTATTAAAGTAATAATTATTACTCAAATTATATAATTTTTAATTAATTTTAGATATAATTAATTGTAATAATTTCAAAACATTATTAATTATTTAATGGATTTGATTTTGTAAGGGCAATTGTTAATTAGATTAACTAGCTACATTCAATAAAGTTTATCTAACATTAATTAGAAAATAAGCACATTAATTAAATAGTAAACATAAATTTTATTTACAACATCGCACTAAGGTAAACATAATATTGACAATAGATTTAGCATGGCTATGGTCAATTCCTTAAATGTAATTATAATAAAAATAATATAGACAACGGAATATAACTTAATACAAATTAAATCTAAATATTTAATATTAAATATACAATATAATACACATTTTACGCATGATGCTTTCCACCATTCTTAGAGTCTGCATTTAGTATTAAATTCATGACATGTGACCAGTGGCGATCATCAGGTTTGATTACTTTAAAAGCATCATGGATTTTTCCCTTTTTAGGTACGCATTGGAAATTATTAGTCCCCATAAAACGACACCACTGATTTTGGGGTTCGCATTTCATCTTGGCACATTTTCTCATTATACTCTCCTTGTACCATCCCCCTTTGATGTATATTATGGTGGCCCTGGCACGTTGATCATATACGGTGCTACCTGGTGCTATTCTCACCTCTGATTGGTTGGTCGGCATTAGCGCCACGATAACGATCGCGGTGACCAGTAGTGCCGTACATGTTAGTTTAATGGCCATGTTGTAATTTCTTAAACTATTTGCTTAATGTAGTTGTTTTTTAATAGTTGTTATTATTATGTGTTAATTGCATACGTGTTCAGTCAATGTGTTTTTTATAAACATTGATTTAATTAATTTTTAACTGCAATATAAAATTTTTAATATAATTTTTTTGCACATGCCCTAAATTGGGTCTAAAATGTAGTTTTCAATGCAAACATTGTTAAAAATAATTACTTAAAATTTTAACGTTAATCAAATATGTTTACTATTAAATTTATTAATATCAATTTATGATCATAAAATTTACTAAACTATTTAAATAAATTAGAAATTAAATATGCAAACATTATAAATCAAAAACAAAAACGTGAAAATCGGTCTGGGTACTTTAATGTTGTTTGTGTTGATGAGCGTCGTAAACTCGGACCCAATTAAATTACAAAACTTTATGCTAATTAATAACTTATTTTTTAATTAATAAATAATATAATGTTTCATTAATTTCAAAATAACATTATTAATCCGATTAATGAATTGTTAATTTAATTAAATTTAATAAATTATAATACTTTATATACTGTAATATATATATTTTCCCTTAAAAAGTATAATGTGAATTTGTATTTCAAATTAATATTGGCTCGAATCTTCACTTTAATTTTATAATAATTAAATTTAACGTTGGTTTAAATAAAAATATTTATTATTAACTTGTTCAACTTGTTTTAAGTTAGTTAATTTATTTCTATTTAAAAATGATATAATTAATGTTGTAATATATAATTGTAATTAATATTCTTTGTTTGTAAATTTAAAACTCTGTGGTTAAGTAAATAAAATATTTATTATGTAACATACTTATATGGTGAATTAATGTTTGTTATCTAATTGTTTGATCTATGTCACAATTAATTAAATTATGTGGGCAAAAAATAAAATAACATTGATCACAATTCTACAGTACTCCATCATCACTCAATTCACCCACATTTAACTTTGCGATCTTCAACGCCGAGTTTAATCATAGGTTTGCCATTATCTACAACACGTGCCGACACGCCATACCTGCCGTTCCCATTAAACTGGCGGAAAACCCCGGAATACAGGCCATCGTTAGCCACTTTATCGGCGCCCAAACCATTATCCCGGAGCC